GCCTTCTCCGCATCTGTGGATAACAGCATGAAGGGTGTCAGGGTGGAGTGGGCGTGACGAATCGCATTGATCACTCTAGTAGTGTTGTCCCTTGGCTCCCGTCCCGGAACAAAACCCACCTGATCTAAGTGCACGAGGTCAGGGATGTGAGGAAGCAGTCGATTAGCCAAAATCTTGGCAAAGAGCTTCAGGTCCAGGTTGAGAAGGGCTATCGGGCGATAGCTACCGCACTGCGAGGGATCCTTATCAGGTTTGGGAATGACCGCAATGTGCGCACGTAAGGCATCCCCTGGGAGGGAAGAGCCCGAGATGATGGAGTTGAACGTGGACAGGAAGTGAGGGGCGAGAAGGTCCTGTAATATGGTAGAGTATAACCATCAGGGCCAGGGGCCTTACCCGATTTAGCCTGTTTAAGGGCGAGGTCGTATTCCGCCGACGTGATCGGGGACTCAAGCTGAGCACAAATCTCTGGTGTAAGAGCAGGCATCTGGGATTCGCCGAGGTATCGGGAAAAAGTCATGTCATCCTGAGAGGATGGGGGTCTATCCGTCCCGGCGTGGAGGTTGTAGAGTGCACTGTAGAAGGACATGAATTCCTGGGCCATTGCTGCAGAGGACGTCAGTCTAACTCCTGTGCCAGAGGTGAGGTGGGGTATGAACGTCGTGGAGCGAGGGCCACGTAGGGCCGACACTAGGGTCCTACCAGGCTTGTTAGAGAGCTCGTACATGGTACGTCGGCCCTTCAGGAGACTCTGACGTACGTTGGACAGGAGAAGCTCAGTGTAACAACCAGACCCCACAGGTCTTATTTTAGGTTGAGGATCACAGCTGCAGAAGTATGAGGAGGGGGTGCAATCCTACACCACAGTGAATTTACAGTCTTATGGTAATGAGTTAGGCAACAATTACTTAGCATGAAAAATAGATGAGGTTTTATTGTAGGGAGGAGTCCTTTTAGATTAGTGGGGTGAAGGATGACAACAATCAATGGGAGCAATCAAGTTATCCCTATGCACAGTTCTATCAATATGCAAGCATTTGGAAATCACAGTCTGTGGTATGCTTACTGCTATTTTAGTTGATGGGAATGATAAGGAGAATGTTGGTGCCCTCCGGTGGATCTTTAGAGTAACTGCAGTCCGGATTGTAATAGTCCTTGCTGAAGCTGGGGATGAAGGAGGTAGTGGAGACCGAATTGCAGGGCTGGAGGGAAGTCGAAGCAGGATGTGCTGGTGGTTTTGGAGGGGCTCTGTCCGGCCCAATAAGAGGAAGAGGTTCGGTGCTGGGATACAGGAACTTGCCTGGCGTCTTCACACTTGCTCGAACGTCAGGCAAGTGTAACGTTCAGCCTTAACTAGGGAGTGGGGGAGGAGTCCTGGAACGAGGAACAGGTGAGTGATCGAGTGCACCTGTTACACTCAGTGAGTTCGGTTCTAAGCAGGCCTTACTCCCTAAGGTGAGTAACCGCCAAAGATTTCTTGTGCGCGGCCTCGAGAGTGCGAAGTTTAGCGAAAAGCTGGGCTACCCTAGCCGACTTCTCTCTCTTCCTGCGGGCGCCATGCCTGATCAAGACTCCCTTCACGACACACTTGCGCCTCCCACACCAGTGGGGATGCCATGGCGGAGGAGCAATTGTCAGAGAAATAGGAGGAGATGGTGGATTCCAATTCAGATCTAATCAGCGGGTCTTGTAGCAGTGATTCGTTTAAACACCATGAGGGGCTTCTCGGGGCCCAAGGGAGCAGTTCTAGTGCCATATGCACCGGGGCATGGTCAGAAAGCAGGATGTCAGCAATCGAGGCGTCCCGTACAAGCGGAATATCCCTGTGTCTAAGAAAAAAGAAATCCAATCGGTAAATGGTGGAGGACAAGGATTTGGCCACATGGTTTGTCTATTCAAAATGGAGACTTAATGAAGTCAAGTCAGTTGTATAGAAGTTGCATAGCTCCCCGCCCCCTCCCCCCCCTCACCTGTTATCTGATGCTCACCCTATTGTACTGTGACTGTGTATGTAAATGTCTGATTCCCTGTGTAAGCTGTTATCTGTGTTTGTCATGAGGGGGAAGGGAGGGGAGGGGTTGTAGCCCTCCCAGTGTCTCAAAAGTGAATGTCCTTTGTTTAATAAAGGAGTTGCTATTTCTATGTTGAACCTTCAACATGAGTTTTGCCTCGTGATTGGGGGTTAGGGGCTGGTTACTGCGAATCCGCTGGCTGAGAGTGGGGTTTGGCGGGCAGGAGACGCTCTTTGGCGGAGGTACCCAGTCGGGGTACCTGGGGTCCGTCACAGGGAGTACGTGTTGTGGACAGAGGAATAAAACGTGTAATCACGGGTCTGTGGGTTTAAAAAACGCCACATGTCAGTTAGTTGGAGGAGGTGAAATTTCGATTTCAGTTTTTTAAGGCGTGAGTATGAGAGGCTGCCCTAGATACATCTAGTAGGGGATCGAGGACAAAATTAAAATCCCCCCAATGACCAACAGACCCTCCTCAAATTCAAGTAGGAGAGGGAGTACACGTTGGAGGAAGGAAACGTGGCCCACGTTGGGAAGGTATAAATTAACCAGCGTAACTAGTTGATCCCCCACCAAACCTTTCACAAACAAGAACCTACCCTCTGGGTCAGATTTGAGGTCCCTGAAAGTCCATGCCACCGCTCTGGACAGTAATATACTGACACCCCTGGACCTGGCAATGGGGGACGGGCAGTGGTAAGATATTGGGAAGTCTCTGTTCTGTAGTTTCGGAACATGATCAATTTTAAAATGGGTCTCCTGGAGGAAAACCACGTGGGAGCCCGCTTTCTTCAGGTCCACCAAGAAGCTTGTTCTTTTCTCAGGGACGCTGAGTCCTCTGACATTGAAGGTAGTGAAGCGTAGCGGACCCATCAAACCCTTAGAAGGGGAAACCAAGCTCCCAGATGCACAAGGGAAGGGAGAAAGGGAAGGAAAAGAGGAGGTAGGAGAGAGGGAACAGCACCAGGCGCCGCTTGCGAAGAGTGTGGCGGGAAAGGTCCGGCATAATACGAATGGTAGCTTGTAAAGGGAGGGAACCGGTGTTTAATGGAGAGTGCCACACCCCTAGTTTATATATCAAGAAAAAGATTTTTGAAGATTTGGGCTTTTTTAGGCACACAAGATGGTAATTTATATAAAAAATATAGTTTTTATTAGATACATGATTAAAAAGAAAGAGCTCACAGTATAAAAAGGAAGAAGCAGCTCAAGAGGAACACCTTCAACCTCCACCAGAATCCTGAGCTTTGGCTAGTTATAATTACATGGATAAATTTCATTTAGTTGATTCATATATGTAAATTAATTTGATATTATCCACTTGACTGGACAACTAGTGAGTTCATTCGTTTGTCTTCCGTATGATCAGAACGGAGCAAAGATGGAATTTTATTAGGTAGTTAGGACCATTCGTTCCAACAAAGTAATTTAGGTATGGTCCATTAGTACTGATTGTTGTTTATAAAGTCGTTCAACCAATTATGCTATCTTAGCATTAAATTGTTCTCCTAGTTAAGTCAATTGACATTATCAACTATTTACAGTCGTTAGTGCGTTACATCATAGTGAATTTCATCATAGTGAATTTTGTACAAGATCTTGAAAGAAATATAATTTTCAAGCTTTTGATTCAGGAAATGCTGGTGGAGTATAACGACAGCGCGTTTCGCGTGTCACCACGCTTCCTCAGGTCAAGAGGTGTTCAGTCCCAGGCGGAACCAGCGGATACCCCCACAAAGCAGTGTCAGATACTTCAAAGGCTTTTAGGGTTTCAAAACTTCGTCCAGACAGTGGAATGAATCAGCCAGGACGGCAGCGTCTGTATGTTGTAGATTCTTATCCTAGCGTTGCACACATGCCTAGTGTTACATTCCATGAGAGGCCATCGCTGTATGCCCAAACAGCTCCAGCCGGACACTTGATTAATACGAATGGTAGCGCTATCGAAATCAGAGGGACCTTGTCTCCAGGCCTGATGAATGACTTCCTCCTTGATAGCAAAAAAGTGCACCCTACACAATACATCACAAGGGGCAGAGGGTGTGGGGGGGGGGCGAGCCCCGTTGACACAGTGCACTCTATCAAGCTCCAAGGGGGCATTATGGGGTTTGCCCAGGAGAGTGATCAGTATGGAGGTCACGGTGTCTCTCAGGTGAATGCCTGCTGTGGCCTCAGGGATGCCCCGCAGGCGTAGGTTATTCCTACGGTTCCTGTTCTCAGAGTCATCTAGGCGCAGGTGCATGGCCAGCAGGCGGTTCCTCGTTAAGACCGCGTCTGATTCCAGTGCCTCCATCCTGGTGGAGAAGGACGCGGTAGTGTGTTCCACCGCCGTGACGCGGCTGTCCATCTCTGATATGCGGTGGGTTAAATCGAGTAGCCCCATTTTTCAAAGCCTCCACAATGGATGAGCCATGGCATCTAAGTCCCGTTTCGTGGGCAAATGCGGGAGCAGGGCCTGCAGCCCAGGCTCCCCCTGAACGCCGGGGCCTACCAGTTCTTGATTTTTTATGTTTACCTATGGGTTAGATTTTAGAGCTGGGTCTATGGAAAGGTTAAGTGTAAGCATCAGCTAGGGTTCTATTCACACATTTCCAGGTTCAGTGTGCTGCATTAATGAACATTATGTTGCATGTTACATTGAATTTCATTAAGACAGACCTTTGTTTTTTTGAATGAGCTGCCAATATACCACAATGGACCAGAAAATGCACCTGCCCAAGTTTATCTCAACACAAATCACCACAAAGCATGGCAGTGTGTTACTATGCATTGCAGTGTGCTGCAACACAAAATAATGGCACATCAATGCACTAAGGTGTGCATGGTGCATTATGTTAAAGAACTCTACCATCATGCCAGTGAAGCTGACCTATGTTTTTTTTCTGTTTTCAGGGCAGCTTAAATCCTTGCTGATAACTACCAGGTGCCAGTTTGTCAGTGCTGATAAATGGTATACTACAATAAAGATATGATTATAATGTTACTTACCTTGGAACTTTCATATGTGAGTTTTAACTCAGAACCTGGCACCTTCAGTAAACGATATAGCAAACCCTTTAACTTCTGAACAGTCATAGAATCTAAAATAATCAACACAAAGCTTATTTCTTCAATAGGGACATGTTCTTTCTCTTACAATGCAATTTTAAAACATTTGGCATCAAATACAATCTACAAAGATCTGAAAAAACAATGGGGTAAACTTTTTATCCCATAGCTCTCTTTACGATCACAGGAGGACATATACTAACGTCCTCCTGTGACCCAAAGCTCAGTATATAGAGAGCTACAGCTCGCTATATACTGATAGCGCCACAGCTGGGACGGATCCCGACAATACTGTCGAGATCCACCAAGCTAGCTGACTGACAGCGGGCTCTGCCTAGCTGTGCCTGCCCCCTCCGTTCCTCCAGTCAGCGCTGGAGGATCAGAGAAGGGAGAGGGGTAATCCCTGCGTGGAGTAGTGATCCACAGTCACTACTCTCTGCAGGGAGATGATCGGAAAGTGAGCGAGAGTCGGTATGTGTTCTCTCACTTCCCGATCAATAGAGCCGACGTGTGACAGTTTAATTGTCACACATTGACTAACTAAATCACTTACCTCATTGTTCTCCTTAAATTACATTGAGTATGGATCGAATATCTATTGGCAATTGAATGACTATCATTACTGCTCATATTGAACTAGCTGGCAGCACAAATTATAAAAAAAAACCCAGACCTGACCCTTTTAATCCTGGGCATAAAGTATATCATGTGTACTGTAGTTCTCTGAAGGGTGGGTTTTTTAACCATATTACAATACACTGTTATAGTGCATCAGGGTGCCAATTTAAAAATAAATGGACCACAATGCTCCATGGTTCTTGCTTTTTTTTACACGTTATCCTTATTCTTTTTATTAAAGACCAACAACAGTATAAAAACCAAAACATATTAACAAAAATAACATCTGGAGTATACAACAGGACATATATCTACATTTAAAATTTGCTACACAAATAAATACCGCAAGAGAAGTAATAAACGGAAAAAGACAAAAGAAAAAAAAAGAAGAGAAGAATTACATTTTTGCAGTGACTAACCTTAAAAGGAATAAAAAAAAAAAGACAAACCCTCTCCTTCTATTCAGCTATAATTATCGGAGGATCATTGAATATCATATAAATCCTGTATTAGGGTGCCCACACACATTACGATAATCGTACGATAATCGCGGGAAATCCCGCGATCATACGATTATCGTAAGGCGTGTGGAAGCCGTGCGACCTCTACTACTGTAAGGTCGCACGACTTTAAACTTACGGACATGTTCGAAAACCCGCCGAGCATCGTACGATGTTCGGCGAGTTTGTGGCATGTCCGTACGATAACAGCCTACGGGCCGGTGTGCGCAAGCACACACTGCCCGTTCGGCATTGCGGTCATCGGAAGCCCGCCCCTCAGGGGGCGTGGCTTGCGATCATCGCAAGTATGATCTGCCTATGCAACATAGGCAGATCGTACGTTTTTTTAAGTACCTTACAACCATCGCAAGACAAAAGTCTTGCGATGGTTGTAAGGTGTGTGCCCAGCCTTATAATAATAATAATAATCCTCTTAGTATACCATGGTGTCAAAATAAAGGTTTGCATACGTTTTTGTTTTGTAATAGTCGGTAAAGAATCAATAAGGGGGTCATTCAAAAAAATTTCCAATTCAGCTCACTTTCCAGTTTAGCTATGTTGTCTTAGATTGTTCACTTCTCCTGCCTTCTCCAAACTCTTCACCCTTGTGTATATTTTGAAATACAAACATCAGCTTACTAAACTAAAAAGGGTTAGAGCAGATGGCCCAATGGATATATCCATTGACGCAAGATTGTTTTCTTCCCCACAAAAGATATGGTAAACAATAGCTTTTTGCATCCAGGAGTGATTTTCACTCCATGTAGATCTAGAGTTCCAAAGATCGCCTAAGCTGCAGACAGAAGTAAATAACTGACCACGTTTTTAAAAAAAAAAAAATTCTTTTTATTAAAGTTTTGTATAAGAATAAATTTTTACAACATTCGTTCTCACAGCCGTGAAAGCACACATATAGTGCAACAATCCTATCCATTACAATCATCCCCAACTATGGGCAATTCCTTACCAAAAAACATAAACATAAACCCCCCCTCCTCCCCCCAGAAGCCGTGGGCCTCTCCCCCCCCACCCCCTCCCCGCAGAGTGCCAGTATAATACCCAGCATTACATATTGTACAGAGTAACAACAGTAAACATATTCAAAAATGATTTATACAGAGTACCCCAATCCATCACATACATTAACCCTGATGCCTTCACAGGCGAGAGTGCAGCCCGTTCAACCCGCTGTGTCTGCAGATTCTACCCAGCGTCCCCACACTTTTGTAAACTTATTTGGCCATCCTCCATATGTAGCCTTATAAAGACTTAGGTAGGAGTTTACTAGGCCCTTCTAGTCCGAGATAGTGGGGAGCACATTATGTCTCCACCTCAGTATGACTACCTTCCTGGCGCAGTACAACAAAGCCCCCAGGAAGATCTGTCCTGCGGTTGTGGGAGCTAGGTGTTCAGTTAGCCCCAAAATACACGTTTTCACATCAGGAATGAAGGGCACTTCAACAAATTGTGACATGAAATTTGTAACCGCAAGCCAGAATGGTCTGATTCGTGGGCAGGCCCACAAAATGTGGATAAGATCTGCCATCGAATCAGAGCATCTCCAACATGCAAAGTCTTGCCGGAGTGTAGTACACCCGATGTAGAATTTTAAATTGTATGAGCTTGTCTCGGGCAGACACTAGGTGGCTAAAAGGATAGTCCCATACATCCTCCCAATCCTCATCCGTGAGCACCGGAGCGTCCACTAACCAGGAACCCTTGCAGTGTAATGTATGTACCAATGATGTCTGGAAGAGATGCCTATAAACCTCCAACAGTGGTTTAGTGAGGGCCTCCCTTCTCAACAAAATCTCCAATCTGGACATCTGGATTGTGCATGTCAACCCACCAAATTGGCCCCGAAACGCATGACGCAGCTGTAGGTAGCGGAACAGATATGCTTTAGGGACACGATATTTCTCCTGCATTTGATCAAAGGTGAGAAGTGAATTATTTAGGGTCAAGTCCCCTGGTGTTTTAATTCCTTTTCCAGGCCAGACCTGAAAATCGGGTATGTTTAAGAAATGAGACAGGAGCGGGTTTTTCCATAAAGGAGTGTGTGGGGACCACCCCTGGTGTGTCAGACCCAACTGCCTACGAATGGAGGTCCATGCCATAATTGTAGCTCTCATAGACGCCGTGAGCTCATATGGGGCCCTGAGACCCCTCAATGGTAGCCCACCAAGGGCCGCATAGGATCCCAGCGAGGCTGCCTCCACCACCACCGCTGCGTCCCCAGAATCGCTTGTGAGCCACTTATGCAGGACCACCATTTGACCAGCTAGATAGTATTTCTTAAAATCTGGGACCGCCAATCCCCCTCTACAGCATGGCACCTGTAAGATGGACAATTTTATCCTGGGAACTTTTGAGTTCCACAGGAAGGAGCTAAGGAGGGTGTTAATTTTCCGGAAAAAGGGTTGTGGTACCCAGACCGGTGAGTTCCTGAGATAGTACAGAAAAACAGGCAATATTTTCATTTTGATCAGGTTAACCCTGCCCACCAGGGAGAGGGGAAGATGTCTCCAAGATTCCAACCGTAGCTTAAGTTGGGAAAGCAGCGGGAGAAGATTCAGGGAGAAGCAATCCTTGACCGATTTTTGTTAGCTGAACACCCAGATAAGTGATGGTGTCCACCCACTGCAGAGGGAGAGAGTCATGTGCTCGTGATTGGGTCATTGGGTCGAGGGGAAGCACATGGGACTTAGACCAATTTACCCTTAGCACAGAAAATCTGGCAAAAGTGTCCAAGATCCTCAGTGCGGCCCTGAGTGATGGGCCGGCATCCGCCAGGAAAAGAATAAGGTCATCTGCATAGAGCGCCAGTCTTTCCTCTATACCCCCTATTTTAAGGCCGCAGATCTCCCGTGAGGAGCGGAGAGCAATCGCCAAGGGCTCCATCACCAGTGCAAACAAGCTTGGAGACAGAGGGCATCCCTGGCGAGTGCCCCGCTCAATCACAAAGGCCTCAGACAGGAGAGATCCAATCTTAAGAATTGCCCTAGAATCGCTGTATAGGATACTGATCCACATCCGAAACACTGGGCCAAAGCCCATTAATCTCAGTATTTCCCACATGTACCCCCAATCCACAGAGTCGAAAGCCTTGGCCACATCTAGCAAGGCCAAAGCCCTAGAACCGCATTGTCATGAGTTAGATGAATATTGGTGAACAGTCTGCGCAGATTAGTATCCGTAGACTTGCCTGGTATAAACCCCGTTTGGTCAATATTTACCAGAGACCCCAGAACTCCAGAAAGGCGTGTCGCCAGGACCTTGGTTAGAATTTTTAGATCCATATTAAGCAAAGCAATGGGTCTGTACGAGGAGCATAGGAGAGGGTCCTTCCCCGGCTTCGGCAGCAACACCACATGGGCGTCTCTGAAGGAGTCGGGCAGAACCCCCATCTCCAGACAATCAATATAGAGGTCCCTGAGCCTTGGTCCAACAGAATCAACATATTTTTTATACCACTCAGCCGGGAAGCCATCGGGTCCAGGGGACTTGCCGTTAGGGAATGAGGCTATAGCCAACTGTACCTCCTGCAGGGTAATAGGTCTTTCCAGGAGTGTTCGGTCTGCATCAGCTAACCGCGGGATAGTAAGCCCACCCAACAGGTCCTGCAAGGCACCCAGGTCATACTCAGGAATGTGTGAATAAAGCTCTTTATAGTATGCATTCATGAAACTCCTGCAGAACCAGAGGTGGGTCTGTCACCCTCACCCCTGTGGCCGTGAGTATTGCAGGAATGTTAGTTTGTGACCTCTGTTCCGCTACCAACATTGCCAAGAGTTTACCGTTCTTGTCTCCTTTCTCGAACTTTCGATTTTCCCTTGCCAGCCGCCAGGAGCACTGCGTCAGTCCCACATGGTGCAAGTTGATGGAACGCCGTGCCTG